AACTTCCACTTATTTTCTTCTAGTGAACTCTACATTAGACATTCATCAACATATAGAGTCCACGACAGAGGACTTTGCAACTATATTATTCAGTGCATTGTTTAATTTGTAAAGCTCTCATTTATCCTAATAAGAAAATATAATCTGTACAAGACATTAAAAAAATGAAAGTGTCTTTCAACATTTTGGATGTCATGTATGGCCATATCCTTTATTTCCACCATCCTTATCAACCGGATGGGGAGATATGTCTTTATCTTACAAACCCATAATGTGGCAATCGTCTATTGGAAGGGTAAAGTATGTTTTGAAATCGTGGTAAATATTGATTGAGTAATGACGCCTCTAAAAGTAAAATTTGGTTATCTGAAAGAATCTCTTATAAAATAAAGTAACAAATAATCAACAAAAGTAACAGTACACAAAGTTGGACCTTTCCCAACGTTGAAATGAAATATGAAAGTAGACCAAGTTGCTATTATTCATCTACTCTTTTTTTTTTTTTTTGAACAAACGATATTATTTACACAGTTACACTAAGGAAAGGGAATGGGCTAAGCCTCACAATGGGCTAGCAATAATATGATTCAAATTCGCATTTAGCGAAAATCAAACTTAAGACCTCTCACTTACAAGTGAAGATGAATACTATTACACTGTAGTATTAAATGACATTATTCATCCACTTTTAAATAATGAATAATCAAGAAAAACATTGCACGGGGTCCCTCTCTCGTCATTGGAATTGTATCCTCTCCTGAGCCCAAGCTCAGGAACCTCCTAACCAACACACAACGGCCGTTGGATTTAGATCCAACAGCTATAATTATTACAACTTTTAAAAGGTCCCATGTTTATAGTCGTTGGATCAAAATTCAACAACCCTTGTGTTGGTCAGGAGGCTCACTCAGGAGAAGATCCAATTCCCTCGTCACTTACCACTAGTGGCCATCACTTCCCTGAGCAAAAGACATCTTTCCAATTGCTTGACCAAAACAAGCATTGCCTTGGTTGTCTGTCCATCAATAACAGGTCCACATCTCAACCCAAATATAATGACGTCAAAGGAGAGGGGAAAATGAGAAGGAAACTCCGGAGGGTAGAGAGAAGGAAAAGAAGAAAAGGAGAAAAGGAAAAGGAAAAAGTAGAAAAGGAAGGAGGAAAATGAGAGGAAATTTCGGAGAATAGAGAAAAGGAGAAGGGAAAATAAGAAAAGCAGAAAAGAAAGGAAAAGCAGAAAAGGAAAAGGGAAAAGTAGAAAAGGAAGGAGGAAAATGAGAGGAAATTTTGGAGAATAGAGAAAAGCAGAAAAGAAGGGAAAAGAAGAAAAGCAGAAAAGAAGGGAAAAGGGGAAGGGAGAAGCATAAAAACAAAAAATAAAAACAAATACAAAAACAAAAAATAAAAAAGGAAAATCGTCTTCATCATTATGTCTACTAACGGAAAAGAGCAAAATGCTCCCAACTTCCCCTGTTTCTTACATTGTAAATTGTATTTCGTATAATGAGAAATCAATATTCTTATCCTGTGAACGTAGACACAACTTGCCAAATCTCGTAACCATACGACAAATCTATAACTACATAACAATTCAATCAACCACTTTAAGTTCAACCATACATGTACCTAGATTCAAGTTTTTCTAAACTTTCCTTATGAAACTACCTGAACATTAAAAGTGCCACATTATTATACGGTTCTATCAAGTTTTAATTTTTGTCTAATTACCTCATCATCTTTAGGACAATCAATCTTGTAGTTGAATATATAAACCTTCGAGATGATGATATTGGAAACACTAGTTTGTGGGTTGATTGGTAGAAATGGTTCCAACAATTCAAGGACGAGAAATGAATATGGAGCAACGATCAAAGTGTGTTGTATTTTATCACAAAAAATCTTTGTGCAACTAGAAGTGCATTTTATCACAAAAAGGTGAGCAACGATCAAAATAATTGTGATTTAGAAAATCACATGTAACACAAGAAGTAAAATTTTCTTTTTCCTTTCATCTCTACAATTTGTAAAGCTCTCATTTATCCTAATAATAAAATATAATCTGTACAAGACATTAAAAAAATGAAAGTGTCTTTCAACATTTTGGATGTCATGTATGGCCATATCCTTTATTTCCACCATCCTTATCAACCGGATGGGGAGATATGTCTTTATCTTACAAATCCATAATGTGGCAATCGTCTATTGGAAGGATAAAGTATGTTTTGAAACCGTGGTAAATATTGATTGAGTAATGACGCCTTTAAAAGTAAAATTTGGTTATCTGAAAGAATCTCTTATAAAATAAAGTAACAAATAATCAACAAAAGTAACTGTACACAAGGTTGGACCTTTCCCAACCTTGAAATGAAATAGGAAAGTAGACCAAGTTGCTATTATTCATCTACTTTTTTTTTTTTAACAAACGATATTATTTACACAGTTACACTAAGGAAAGGGAATGGGCTAAGCCTCACAATGGGCTAGTAATAATATAGTTCAAATTCGCATTTAGCGAGAATCAAACTTAAGACCTCTCACTTACAAGTGAAGATGAATACTATTAGACTGTAGTATTAAATGACATTATTCATCCACTTTTAAATAATGAATAATCAAGAAAAACATTGCACGGGGTCCCTCTCTCGTCATTGGAATTGTATCCTCTCCTGAGCTTGGGCTCAGGAACCTCCTAACCAACACACAAAGGTCGTTGGATTTAGATCCAACAGCTATAATTATTACAACTTTTAAAAGGTCCCATGTTTGTAGTCGTTGGATCAAAATTCAACACCCCTTGTGTGTTGGTCAGGAGGCTCACTTAGGAGAGGATCCAATTCCCTCGTCACTTACCACTAGTGGCCATCACTTCCCTGAGCAAAAGACATCTTTCCAATTGCTTGACCAAAACAAGCATTGCCTTGGTTGTCTGTCCATTAATAACAGGTCCACATCTCAACCCAAATATAATGACGTCAAAGGAGAGGGGAAAATGAGAAGGAAACTCCGGAGGGTAGAGAGAAAGAAAAGAAGAAAAGGAGAAAAGGAAAAGGGAAAAGTAGAAAAGGAAGGAGGAAAATGAGAGGAAATTTCGGAGAATAGAGAAAAGGAGAAGGGAAAAGAAGAAAAGCAGAAAAGAAAAAGGGAAAAGTAGAAAAGGAAGGAGGAAAATGAGAGGAAATTTTGGAGAATAGAGAAAAGCAGAAAAGAAGGGAAAAGGGGAAGGAAGCTTAGGAGAGTAGAGGAAGAGAGGGAAAAGCATAAAAACAAAAAATAAAAAAGGAAAATCGTCTTCATCATTATGTCTACTAACGGAAAAGAGCAAAATGCTCCCAACTTCCCCTGTTTCTTACATTGTAAATTGTATTTCGTATAATGAGAAATCAATATTCTTATCCTGTGAACGTAGACACAACTTGCCAAATCTCGTAACCATATGACAAATCTATAACTACATAACAATTCAATCAACCACTTTAAGTTCAACCATACATGTACCTAGATTCAATTTTTTCTAAACTTTCCTTATGAAACTACCTGAACATTAAAAGTGCCACATTATTATACGGTTCTATCAAGTTTTAATTTTTGTCTAATTTCCTCATCATCTTTAGCACAATCAATCTTGTAGTTGAATATATAAACCTTCGAGATGGTGATATTGGAAACACTAGTTGATGGGTTGATTGGTAGAAATGGTTCCAACAATTCAAGGACTAGAAATAAATATGGAGCAACGATCAAAGTGTGTTGTATTTTATCATAAAAAATCTTTGTGCAACTAGAAGTGCATTTTATCACAAAAAGGTGAGCAACGATCAAAATAATCATGATTTAAAAAATCACATGTAACACAAGAAGTAAAATTTTCTTTTTCCTTTCATCTCTACAACTAGTGGCCGACCATGACTTAAAGAAACACTTTTTGGGTCAGTGCATTGGAACGACCCATTTTATAATTGTTTGTTAATTTTCTTGGAAGTAGATAAGAATGACCTAATTAAATATCTCCCCTGCACACAGACATTTGCATTGCACCTAACAAAGACCAGGTTTTTTGTTTGTCCACCGAACCTCATCAATGGCTCTTGTGAGAACAACTCAAGGAACATCCTCTAATTCCAACACTCGACTTAAAGTAATGAATTTAGGTTAATTTTTTTTTTCTTCTTAAAGTAACTTTTTTAAAAGAAAAAAATTATGTAAACTATCATAATTAACATTTTAACTTAAAAATATTTAGATTCTGACAAATATTGAAAAATCGCAAACCGACACCATGAAACTCGTTAAACATTATGAAAAAAAATATGAAACACATAAGAGAGATTTTTTTTTTAATTACTTTAGTCGTTAGATTTAAATTTGGACCGTTAATTTTTTTTTTTACTGTTGAATTTTATCAAATTAGATCTTAACCGTTGAATTTAATGAATTTATAAATATAAAACTAAATAAAATACACATATATAATGGTCCAGCCCCACTAATTCTGGGCTAAATCTGGCTTTTTTTTAGTTTTTAGCATTTAGTCTACACATTTAGCATGAATTAGGTTGGGTTTGGAAGGAGTAAAACCTAAAAAATAGCATTTAGCCCAGGTTGGATTTGGTTTTAGTAGCCGGCAAAAGAATTCAAAGGAATCTTCATTGAATTTATGTTTTATGTTTTTGCCTTAAACGATACGTAACATGCTTGGTTGTGTAGGACATGGACTAAATCCAATTAGCTTCCATATACCTGCCGGCCGCCGTACACAAGAAACAAAAAACTTGGTATTTAAAGGGTTGATGGACCATAATCCGTGTTATAAATCGTAAATTACTAGTTGGTGGGTTGACGATTGGTAGAAATGGCTCCAACATTTCAAGGACGAGAAATCAGTATAGAACAACTATCAAAGCGTGTTGTATTTTATCTCAAAAAAACCGAATGCAATTAGAAGTGTATTTTATCGCAAAAAAGCAAGCAACCATCAATATAAATTGTAATTTATAAAATCACATATAAAACAAGAAGTACTCTTTATTTTTTCTTTTCATCTCTACCACCAGTGGCCGACCATGACTTAAAGAAACGCTTTTTGGGTCAATGCTTGTGGCCATTCCTGGAAGTGGATAGGAATGACCCTATTAAATTTTTCCCCTGCACAGAGACATTTGCAATGCACCTAGCAAAGACTGTTTGTCCATCGATCCGCATCAATGGCTCTTGTGAGAACATCTCAAGGAACCTCCTCTGATTCCAACACTTTTCGGGGTTATCGCTACGACGTGTTCTTGAGCTTCAGAGGCGAAGACACTCGCAAGACTTTTACCGACCACCTCTACACAGCCTTGAACAACGCAGGATTTCTCACTTTCCGAGACGACAATGAACTTGAGAGAGGAGAAGATATAAAGCCAGGACTGCAGAAAGCGATCCAGCTGTCACGGACTTCTGTTGTCGTGTTTTCGAAAGATTACGCGTCATCCGGATGGTGCCTCGATGAGCTTGTGGTGATCCTTAAACACAAGAGGACTTCAACTGATCATGTAGTTTTACCAGTCTTCTACGATGTCGATCCGTCCCACTTGAGGAAGCAGACGGGAAGTATTGGAAAAGCATTTGCTGAACACCAGAGAACTCAGTCGTCGAAAAAGGTGAAGGGATGGAGAGAGGCACTTGCAGAGGTTGCAAATCTAGCAGGCATGGTCTTAGCTGATGGGTAACTTTCATTTTCTCCGTTTCTCTTCTCTTTCTTCGGTCAATTTGATAATATGATTTGTAGGTACTAGACTTAGCATCCGTCTCGTATTTTTTTTGTGTTCGTGTCGTTTTCTGACATACGTATTTTAATCGGATGTCATGTGTTGACACCGATTAAAGTAAACAGGTAATTTGACCCAATCCTGAATCGTACAATATTATCAAGTAATATCACCTGACCCGACCCACTCCCCATTACAAAGTATATATTTAAATCATTATTTATTCATCCAATACTTCGGTGAGGATTTGGATTCTTTTACGAGGCAATGGAGAGGATCATCCTGACCAACTATTGTGGACCGTTGGATGAAAATCTCACGGCTACAAACAGCGAGTTCCTTTAAAGTTATAATAATTATAACCGTTGGATTTTCATCCAACGATTCACGATGGTTGGTCAGGAGGATCCTCTTCATTGGCTAAAGAGAGGATCCAAATCCCTTCGGTGAGACATGATGTCACATCCCAACATTTACAACCTTCTTCTGAAGCTCACATTAATTCCAATTTAACTCATGTTATACTTACAAAAGTACTTGATTAGAACTCCAATAACTATATTACACTGCATAAACTTGCCTTTTTTTCTTAACATACGATAATGTGAAACTTCAAAAATATATAACAGTCACATCATGTAGAAAAATTTACAAACCAAAAGAAACAAATTTAGCAAAACTACCAATTAAGATGGTTTATTGCACATGACATGTTTGATTTATCTTTCATTTTGTTTCCAAATTCTTAGGTACGAGTCAAGGTTTATTGAAAAAATTGTTAAAGTGATTGAAGATAAGTTAAGTCGCGTGCCATTGAGTGTTGAACCAAAATTGATTGGAATCCATTCTCGAGTCAAAGACATCAATTTATGGTTACAAGACAGATCAACTGATGTTGGTATACTTCTTGTTTATGGGATGCCTGGAATGGGGAAGACAACAATTGCAAAACATGTTTACAATTCAAACTTTAGAAGCTTTGAAAGAAGTAGTTTCATTGAAAATATCAATAAAACAGCAGATCAACCAAATGGCTTAGTTCAAATACAAATGCAACTTCTTTATGATCTTTCGAACAGCAAAGAAGTGAAAATACATGGTGTTGGTGAGGGACTAAATAAGATTGAAAGAGTCATAAGCTCTAGAAGAGTTCTTCTTGTTCTTGATGATGTGGACCATATGGACCAATTAGATGCAGTACTAAAGATGAAAGATCGGTTTTATCCGGGAAGTAAGATACTTATAACAACCAGGCGTGCAAGGTTGCTAAAGGCACATCAAGTTACAAAGGTGCACGAAGTTGGAACTTTGTATTACGATGAGTCATTAGAGCTTTTCAGTTGGCATGCTTTTCGCCAAGACCATCCCCTTAGAGGTTACATGGAATATTCAAAAAAGGTTGTACACTATTGCGATGGACTTCCATTAGCTCTAAAAGTTTTGGGTTCATCTTTATCAGGGGAAAGTATTGATGTATGGGAAAGTACATTGGAGAAGCTAAAAGTTATCCCTAATGGTGAAATCATGAATAAACTAAGAATAAGCTATGACAGTTTACAAGATGACCATGATCGGAAATTATTCCTCCACATTGCTTGTTTCCTAATAGGAATGAACAAAAGCCACATTGTTAGAATACTCGATGGATGTGATTTCTATACAATTGTTGGCATTCAAAATCTCATTGATAGATGCTTGGTGACAATTGATGGATGCAACAAAGTGCAAATGCATGACATGATCCGTGACATGGGAAGAGAAATTGTTCGCCACGAATCAGAAGAGCCTGGAAAACGTAGTAGATTATGGCGCTATAAGGATTCTTTCGAAGTACTGAGGGAAAAGAATGTAAGAAACATGCATTTTATGTCTATATATGTATTTCTTATTGTGAAAATTATCCATACTAATGTTTCCGTTTTTTTCCTTTAGGGTACAAAAAAAATCCAAGGTCTTGTCCTGAATATGCTTATGCATCCTGCAAACAGTCCAATAAACACAACTGAGACAATCTTGGAAACCAATGCATTTGAAAGGATGAGCAAATTACAACTACTACATCTTAGTCATGTACAACTAGATGGATGTTATGCAGATTTGCCTACAGGATTAAGATGGTTGTGTTGGCTTCAATTTCCTTTGGATTCTATACCTATTGAGTTTCCTTTGGGGTGTCTAGTTGTTCTTGAAATGCAATACAGTAGCTTGAGACAAGTCTGGAAAGGAACAAAAGTATGTTACTCCACGCATTTCAATTCAGTTTTTTTTTTTTTTTTTTTTTTTTTGACCAATTGCATTTGTTAAAATTAACTCCTACACATTTTTTTTTCTTTCTTTGTTTTTATTTGTTTCCAGTTTCTTCCTTCGTTGAAGATCCTTGACGTCAGCCATTCCCATGCCCTTAGTGAAATCATTGACTTCTCACTTTGCCCCAAACTAGAGGAATTGATTCTTGTGGATTGCACCAGCCTGATTGATGTTCATGAATCCATTGGAAACCTGGAGAGACTCGTGTACTTGAATATGAGGGATTGCAAGAATCTTAGGATTCTTCCGAAGAACATGTGCATGCTTAAATCACTTGAAACGCTCATTTTATCTGGTTGCTCAAATCTTGATGAGTTTCCAGTGGAGATGATGAAGGAGATGGAGTCTCTAGAGGTTCTTGCAATAGATGGAATTCCATTAAGGCCAAAAACAAGTTCAACTATCTTGAGTTCTTTTCCATGCTCTTTGGTAAAGTTAAGCCTGCAGTGGTGCAATCTTTCTGATGATGTCTTTCCTACGGATTTAAGTAATCTATCCTACTTGCGAAGCCTACAGTTAGGTGGGAACCCAATTTGCAGTATGCCAGTTTTCATCAAAGGTTTGAGAAGGCTCGATTATCTATCTTTCCAGTATTGTAATAGGCTCGAATCGCTTGTGGGGTTGCCAAAAGTACACCGATTGACAAGTATAATAGGATGCATATCATTAAGAAAAATAAAATATCTTCCCCATGCGCAAGGGTCTAAATCGTGCAATCTGGGTGGCAACGACAATCTAGTTGAGTGGGAGCATAGATACAAGATAGAGCCTATTGATAGAGTTGATGTGGAAATAATCAAACTTTTGGGCTTGTGCAACTTGGAATCCATGCCAGCTGTTCGAATGTGTCAATCATTCGCAAACAGGGATCCAAAAGAGGTCCCGGTCCAGGTGCGCCTCTCTTTCTCTCTCTCTCTCATAAGTCTTAAATATATAATGGGAAAGAAATGACTGAGTAATGTTGTGATGATTATGGCAAATACATAGGGACTGTATCAAGATGGTATATTCAGCACATTTTTTGCTGGGAATGAGGTTCCAGGCCGGTTCAGTTATAAAAGTACCAAGTCCTCCATATCTTTTATAGTCCCTTCGCTACTTGCTAGTCACAAAATTCGAGGCTTGAACATCTTTGCTACCTATGCGAAGGCGGGGAATTATAATGGTATATGGTCCTCAAATGATCCAATACTACTGACTAATGTGAGTAACAAGAGCAAGGGTTTGAAGTGGATCTATAACCCAGATTTCGATGGAATTCCAGGAGAGGGAGAAGATATGATATGGTTGAGCCATTGGAAGATGGAGAACAAAACAATATTACAATGTGGAGATCAAGTGGTGGTTTCTGTAGTGGCCAGGCCAGTTAACTATATTATAAAGGAGTTTGGTGTCGAGCTTGTGCAAGAACACCAGAATAATATAATGATAAGTACCCAACACAACACCAAATCAGATCCTAATTATCCATATGTCATCGGTGGAGATTTGTCCAATTGGGAGCATATACCAGGAATATACTTCCTTGGTGTACCTGAAGAATGTGTTGAATACGCTATGAAAGTTCCGTGGGGTAATTTATATCGCCTCATCATGGACACTGATGAAGAAGACACAGGTATGCTATGTCGTTGTATTGCAACGAATTATACTCCATCCAAACACTTCCAAGTCCGTCTGTATTCAATTCAAAAACATAAATTTTTTGTTATTTGTATGTTTTTCAGACAAAGAAGAAGGGCAGGAGGATGAACCTGATTACACAATTGGAAGGACGAGGGATGCCAATAACAATTGCGGCCTCAAAGGCTGGAAGGTGCTCCTCACAGCTGCCGGCTTATTTTTCACGCTTGCCCTAGTATTTCGGTCCTCCATCTCCCAGAAAAAGAAGCAACAGTAGTCCACAAACGATCCATGAGTTTGTAATTTTACTTGACACAGACATCTTTGGATTCCCTCCTTGTTTTCAAGATGTTTTCTGCCTTTAAAAACTTCGGGTTCAAAGCTAAGCGCTTAACCACTTGAGATATAAAAGCCCCTAGCAATTAGATATCGAAGTTCAAATTTGTTCAACATCACCAAATATTGCATAGCTCAAATGTGTTCAACATCATCACATACTGAAATACATCTAGCATTAGAGATGCTATTTTGGCACCATGGAAAGCAAAAACATCCTATTTGCTTATAAATGTCAAAGTTACAGAGTTTAATTGTCATTTACAACAAAATCATGCCTCTTAAAGACTCGACTCCCATTGAAAAATTGTGTAAATAAATATAACAGATACAAGATTGAATAATATATCAAATAAATATAACACCAGACAATTTCTTAGCCTGAGATCTAATGAGTATACAGTTGGCTCAGCCTTGCATCGCTACGGAGCTGGTTTCCATCTTCAACCCGAATTATTAGGGTCAGGAAGCATAAGGAGGAACAGCTGTCTCTGAGGCAGATAATCAAATAGTGCAAAATTAGAATAAAAAAACAATAGAAGTTCAGGATTGATGAGGTTCCAAGCCCACTACAAGCTGCTGAGACAATGCAGTGTCATTGACTTCAAATAGTGCAAAATTAGAATAAAAAAACAATAGAAGTTCAGGATTGATGAGGCTCCAAGCCCACTCCAAGCTGCCGAGACAATGCAGTGATATTTAAAGTTGGTTAGATGAGTCCAAATTGTTTGAAAATCATTAACGAGGATACCAGGCATCACATGGGAGGATAAAATCATTAGGAATTTCAAAAGCCACAATTTTTAAATGCAATCTGATTGCATGTTCTTTGAACTACAGGAAATGCAATCATTCATGTATGAATTATGAGATGCCCAAAAGATGATGGGTCAATTGTCTGAAAAAATTCTTTCAGTAATGTCTGGTATAACTCAGAGTCATCCAAAAGTTCAGGGTCACCATCAGCTTGTGCACCAGCATCAGATTGTGTCACCTATCAAAGTGAAAGAATAAAATTACTCAATTTGTGCAAATAGAAATATAATTTTTACAACACATCAACAAGGTAATTAAAGCGGACCTCACAGGCTGCACATCGAAGTGGCAAACAAATCAAAATTTCAAATAAAAGATAGGATTAAAGCTAATGGTGCATGAAGAGTACTGCAACACTCACATCCCTCGCACACTGGTTGCATGATTTATCCTTATAGAAATAAAAGGCACAAATTCGTCAAGTCACATCGGGGCCATCCAAAAAGAAAATTGAAGCAAACACCACAAACAACCTAAAATTTGCTCAAACGTCATATCAAATTAATTACAAACAGCATCCATCCCAAACAATGAATTTGTACCTCATTTGGGAGTTAAAATGGCATATGGGAAAATTGTATTCCATGGTACATTTAATTCCAATGAATTTATAAATGGGTCCTCAGATTAGTATCGAATTATAGTTAACCACAATTATATGTAATCAGTACCTTTCCCTTTGCAGTGTTCTCCCCCACAGGAACCTGCACATCAATAACTCGTGTTTAAATTACTATATGTTTAAAACCAATCTTGTTATGATGTTAAAAATATGAAGCACAAATATATCTGAGCATGCGCGTGAGACCTTGGGAACTGTGAAATTTTCATTTTTTTGAATTTAGATATAAGAGTTAATGTCTTACGGTGCCAATTACAGCAACTGCTAATTTCCACATCTGCATCTGCCCAACCATTCTGCTTGGGTCTTTTATATAAGAAGTAACTTGTTCACTAATATTCTGCAATTGGAAAAAGAAAAATGAATTCCTAGTGATATCTGGCAAAGCATGGCACAAGTCAGTCATAGGGAAAGGCATGTTAACAAGTTCAATTATAGAACCAGACCTGATTAAAAGCATGCGGCTTGCTTTTAATATCAGCAGCGCCTGTGGTCACCTCCGTCTTCCTCTGCCATTTGTCTATCAATTTGTTTCTGAAAGTAGGTATTCTACAAGATACAACATGATAGGCCTTAGTTAGACCAAGTAACCCGTATGGAAATGCACATACTAATGAAAAGTTGAACATAGGAGAATAAATTCCTAAAATTCATGCAAGAAAAGTTATCGGAGCATGAAAGAATTTATACAGAACTACCCAAGAGTATACTTAAAGTAAACATACGGCAACATAGATTTTTACGCGTATAATGTACAAATGAATTTCATGGTTCTCTGCCGGCCCCTTTAGATAACAAACTAATTTAATTTCGTACCTAATGGAATTTAAAGGTCAGAAAGCTATCGTCTAGTATATTTCATATTGAACAGTTGAGACAAACTTAATAACATAATAGCCTGATGTATTAACTGATAAGAACTAAGTATTGAAATATAACAAAAGTTAAACACTAAGGTATTGAAATACAGCAATAATAGTAAGGTACTTGAATCCACCATTTACAAGAATTTTAAACAATACAACAACAACAAAGCCTTTTCCCACTAAGTGGGGTCGGCTATATGAATCCCGCGCTTGGTCCTGTGTCACTTCTTCTAACAAGAAGTTTAAACAATAAAACAAAAAAATTCCAAAGTTCTTGCTACTCCAAATGGATCGGCGAAGTATGGCATGAACAATAATGTTAAAAAAATATTTCAGTTTTATAGATGGGCTTCAATATAACGACAGCATATCTAGATAGTAGAATATGATTCTTCTTTTCAGAATATCCAAATTATGATCTGAGTACATCCACAGCAACTAAGAAATCCCTGACCAATCCTCATCACCATCACCATCACCATCAATGTTCTTAGATGACTGTGACTTCTTAGATTGTCCAGATTCACCTACAAAACAGGATATGTATTAGGAGAAGCAATACATGAACATATGCAGTATGAAGTTAATGAAAACACAAACAGTACACACTAGGACAGCCAATTAGACCATGGTAGCCCAAAAGCCTTTTTTTTTTGCTTAATCAGGCTAAGGCTTATATGAGATCAAGCGGGAAAGATTTGAGCTGACATCCTTGGCAGATTTGAAATCTGGCTTCATCTTGGCTATCCTCAGATCAGAAAACAAGACTCAACTGATTTACCTTCTATGCCAACATTATGCTTTTGACAACAACAACAATTACCTACCTCTAGAGTGGTTATTTAATTGATGTTTCCTTGAAAGTTGTAATCAAAATCACAAATTGTCTAATTTTTGTTGATCTACTTTGAGCTTCCCACCTAATACGCGTAAACCATCACATATTTGGACTGGCTTGTTTTCAATAACCTAATCATTAAAATTCTAAATAAGAAAAACTTCCAACTATTTCTAAAAAAGAACATTTCAGACTCCAGTTAATTTAGGCGGGACTGAGGAGATAAAAATGAGTATTTTCTTCCTTGACCAACCAAATAATGGAAGAGAAGGAATTTCTCCCCTTCTTTTTCCCCTCCTTGCAGACTACACAAGCCATTCAGAAAGGAAGAAATCTCATTGTGCATTGTCAACTCAATAGCAATCCACTTATTTAATTCCTCTTGTAACCATATCTTCTAAGGTCCAACCCAAATTATATGCAGTTTATTTAATAATGCAATCATCTTCCAAGAATAAGGTCCAAATATGTGACCCTTCCATCCTGGATGTCTATATTTCTATCGAATGGAACAATTTGCAATAACACTATGTTTGCTACTACTTAACATAAATACTTACACCAACAACAACAACAATAAAAGATTGGCACAGAAAGCATAGGTCCGTAAAACGCGTAGTACTTACCACATGCAATGAATGACACCCTCAGAAGCTGATGCTTCTAGGTTATCATATACGTAACCACAAACTTGGTTTCTTCAAGGAGAGTGAAGCGAAGTTCCTCCACGAAAGAGGGACGAGCGGAACAACTTCGGTATCGGTAAAGAAAGAAAGAAAAGGTAAGAAAAATACCTCATCCGAAACATATAGAAGCATACCAGCTACCCCCTAATTCGCTCTATCTCTCTCTCTCTCAGCCTCCATCCCCTAAACCCTCATCGAATGACAACAAATGCAAACATACCAGCTACCCCCTAATTCGCTCAAAACCGAGAGGACAAAATTGCCCTTCCCAATACATCATGCCCACCATCGGATTGTAATCTTCGGTGGGCAGAACTGTAATTAAATCGTTGAGAGCCTGACTGAGGGCCGGGCTTCTTACCGAAAATCAACAGAAGGCTCATGAAGAGAAAGAGGGAGCCCAAACCCCAGCCCAACACAGATTTGGTGGCAGCATTGTGTAAATAAAGCAAATCAAGGGGCAACAATTTAACTGTAGCTAAGCTACAGTCTAGACCCGGCAATTTCTTACACGACACGTAAACGACACGAAAATAACGGGTTTTGGGTCAATACGATAACTAATCGGATCATTATCGAGTCACACGATAATAACCCATTAATAACGAGTTCTTAACAAGTTTACACAAGAGTAACACGCGGGTAATCTGTTTCGACACGATAAGAAAAAAGTTATTTTGATGATTTTAATTTTCTAAACTACTAAAAAAAAACTTACTATAAAGTGCAATAGATATAAGGAATATGTATATATTGTTTATTAACGGGTTGATTTCGGGTCGGGTCATATTACTCATCTACTTTAACGGGTATTACACGACACTATCTATTAAGCTATCGGGTATGACACGAACACGAGAAGCACGACACGAATGCCAGGTCTACTACAATCAAATTACTCCTCAACTTTAGAATGGATAATGAGGGGGTTTTGAACTTAAGATGCAGCTGGGGAAGTAGGCTGCTTAGCCATTTCGAACTTGGGTGCCACGAGAGGAGTACACTGCTCTAGTCAACTTAGCTAAGACTTAGTCCGCTAAATAAGATATTGATCACTTGGTTTTCCAGATTGTCATGGCATTCGTCTACAGTTTGAATCCATAACCTTGACGAGTTTCCAGGGAAGATGATGAAGAAGATGGAGTCTCTGAAAGTTCTTGAAACAAATGGAATTCCATTAAGTGAATTATGGCCAAAAAGAAGTTCAACTATCTTGAGTTCTTTTCCATGCTCTTTAGTTAAGTTGAATCTCAATAGGTGCAATATTTCT